GCCCAACTAAACCTTTTTAATATTTATTTTCCCTAGATCGTTCACATACTTCGGGTTGCCTGGAGGATTGGTCGCTTTTGACTATTCGTCTGTTTTTGCTTTTATTTTCCTGGAGGAAGTTTCCTTCCTTGAATAAAATAATTCTGCAACCTTTGTTGCAGGCGCTTTGCATATTCCTTCTGGTGGGTTGCCTTTCTAAGAAGTTGACTGTACGAGAAGTGTTGAGGTATTTATCTACAGCTAGATAATTGGGTTATGGATGCTCTTCGGGAGGCTTTATTTCTTCCAGTGAGAAGTTGACGGTTTTATGCCCTTTTTTTATTACTAGGCGCCATCCTTTTAACAATTCATGCAGGTAATAGCTTTTTTATTGTAGCTTATTTATTCTTTCTTAAAGTCGTAGGAAGCCACGGTGGATTATCAGTATTTGTATAACTGACGTACGGAAGATCTGAGAGGAACTTAACGCATACTCGAAGGAATATTCTTCAAATACTTCAGTTTCCGTTGACTCAAATAGATTGACAAAGCATGGCACAGCCCCTCCCTTCTTCTAGTCGTCCTTCTGTGGGCTTTCTCCCTGACCAGTTTCATATGTCGGCGGTCTAAAATCCACTCACGAAACAGCGACGTCATACACTGAATTACCTTGCAGCAAAGGAGGTATTTGAACTTATTGACAAGGAGGTACCTGGGAAACCCCAGTGGGTGTGGAATTTTGTCCTACATGGCAGCTGTATTTGGGAAGAGTGAAGCGTATTGTTCTCATAATGCTGAATGTTGGATGAGGCCCTACAGCAGGGTTATCTCGTACGAACATCTACCCAGAAGCAGGGCCACCTAATAAAGGACAGGATTTAAGAAAGTTTTGTGGGTATAGTGCTCTTTGTCCCTCTCCATTTGCTAATTTTTCTCACTTTTGTGTTGATTATCTATCTACCTACCTATGGGGATTACAATCAGTTTTAGATAGGTGTAGCAGGTATCGCTAGTTAACCTACCGGTTTTCTACACACTGGCACCGTTGGCTGCTCTATAAGGTTCTGGCCTGGAACACGAAATAGACGTGGTCGTCGAAGGCCGAAGTCATTTCCAGTCTCCCTCTTAGATGTCGTCACAAGTTCCTTCATCTATAGCAGATGCCCTTCCTTTAGCACAATAAGCCATAAAATTAGGTTTGCTGTCTTTTTAGATGTGTCTTGCCTGTAACTGCCAACAGTGTAGCACACTGGGTCTCCCCAGGTATCGTCAAACATCACAATAACGAGGCAGTTCATACAATACTGCCGTGCTGTGTAGCAGAGGCGCAATATGACAAATTGTGGAGGGGCAGCAGGATGTATTTCAGTCGCCTGTCTGTCGGATAGTGTGTACCTGTGTAGTGAATAATCACACCTCCGCCTGTGATTACTGCACCACAACTTCAGTTAGACTAATCTCGAGGTTTTCAGTTAGTTTATTTCTTTTAATTGATGATAACTAGCATTATGTACCTCCACATTGAAACACCTCATTAAGCATCTGTCGCGCATTACCTGAGTCGGGGTTCTGCAAGTAATGGCTAGGGTGTTATCAGTTTGAGTGGATAAAAGGACCTACTTGAACATCAGGCCCATGCAGCACCAATCCGATCGAGCTACTGAAATAACGTAACTGTGACTGATCGTCACCGTGTGTCTCCTCTCAACGCAATGCGGTTTAGTGTTACACGATACATTTACAAGGTCTAATAGAGCATTTCATTAAACTGTCACATCCAAAAATGTGCTACAAATCATGCGAAAACTGTGAGATTAGTACATTACCTTGACCTATTAAGTCACTGACCTTGAAATATTCTGGAGTGAAAATCTCAGGTCATAGAATTGCAAGACAATATGCTAGGTGCAAAAAATCATTGTCTTAAGCAGGCAATCCGTATAAGTACACGATTTTGTCAGTAAATTCACTACTTTCCCTTTTTAAAAGCAAACACCAAAATAACTGATGGCAGCACAAAAAACAATTTAATAAAAAAGATAAGGGTGAAAGTATTTAATATGCACTAGCATTTCCAGGTAATTTGTCTACTCCTTCTAAAAATAAAAGAAACAACAAATATGTATAATAGGTGAATGTATTTTACGGTATTTGAAAAGACAGCTGAATAAATTAAAACATGTTAAAATTGAGTAAATATTGAGGCCTGTGTTGGGTGCAATCACCGCAGTTTTCAATAGGGTCTGGTAACTTTCTTGCATTGCGGTAACGCTGTTAATAACTAGTTCAGCTCAAATTCCGGGAAATCGAAAGGTTATACGGGATGGATAGGGCTCACAGATTTAAACCAAAGGGATACAACCTTATTGTCCGCCTTCCTAAGGGAAACAGGAGCGACAGTGTCATCTACTGTAATCAAACCGTGTTCAAAATGAGCCAAAACATATCACGGAATTGTATACGGAGAAGTAAATACTGACTTAGTAAGAGTCTCGCTTGGCAACGGTGACTTCACTGCGTTCGTTGCGTGAAAGCAAGAAATCAGAATAAGCATGAGAAGTAGGCAACTGTGGGAACGGGACCATACTTCTCCATCCCGTTAAGCCCATACGATGTGACTTCAATCTTCTAGACTGGGATGTAGGTAGGAGTGGGTTATGTTTATGTGGCATGCCCACAAGTAAGAGGGAAATGTGTGTGTGTGTGGTCTGATTCGCAAAAATTGTGCAATTCAATTCTCCGGAATCCTACCATTTTATCCACCTTACCGAATGATTCGGTGCTCGATTCCATCATTTAAAAGTTGCACAACATTGAGTTACTCGAGCACTTTATTGGTTGTAACCAAGGGCGTATTCCTTTTCTATTGTTCTACTGTAAAACAAGTAACTATTTGTGTCTCCCTTCAATTTATTGCCATTACAGGCATTTTTATGGTTGTCATTTGTTAAGGCACTCATATATCTTTCTCAACATTGACCAGATTAAATGAGCAAAAGTCAGCAGGACAGATTTGAATACTTTCTCACACTTCCACGATTTCCACCGACTCACATTCTTACACTGACTTATGTGAGGACGGAAAAGTCCCTTAAACTAGTAAGTTGACCCTACCGGTTGATTCAAAAGAGATTTGGCCCATCTAGCCTACCCAACTCTCTGATGTCAAATGACAGTGTAGGAAATGGCGTCAGATCGAAAGGCAACTTTTAATCTCTCAACAAACTTAAATGACTATGACATGGGAATTTACTTTAGCGATGGTCAATTAAACTAAATGTATTATTTAATGCAATACGGAATAAGGAAATTTGACTGACTTGTTGTAAATCAGGTATATTTAGTAATCTGATCTCTTGTTTAGCCGTGTTCTCATCTGCGAGGACACCTTGGCGCTTGCAGACTACTTCCGCTCAGCGGTGTGAATTTTAGGTTGGTAATTTAAGTCTTGGGTTTAATAAAGGGCCACCCTGGGTCACAGCCATCGTACCTTCCTTGAGTGGGCTAACATCATTTTCCCTAGCTCCTACCACATATTAAATATATGTATAAATTCTGCCCAAGTATCAGGTCTACTTTCTTTTTTAGGCCATCCTTGAGGCACCAGAAGTAGTCTCACTCCAACCTTTCCGACGCAATTAAGCAGTAATTTCTTCCAAACTGCTTTGGGGCTACATGCATTAAACATTTCTACCCTCCAGCAATCAAAACTTTTTGACTTTCAGATCGTCTCTAGTCAGCTCTTAGAGAGCACATGGGGCAATGCAGTTAGAAAGACCATTGCTTTTGTTGTCACCTCGGCGTATGAAAGTAGTTTAATACTTATGCAAAAAATGCGCAATTTTAAACTTAGAGGGGAGTCTCAGGAGCTTCATTGCTGGCAGTGTGAAGCAAACCGGATCATAAAGAGGGTCAGTATTAATTTCTAATACTGGATAATCAGCATCAACGGAATTGACGAAGTACAGTCGCTGAGATGGGAAAATCGCTGACGAGTCATAAGAAAAGGGTTATATTGCCTCTTGCATTAGCAGCTACATCAGTCCAGAAATCCACAAAGAAGCCAATAACAAATGAAGTAACTGTAACCGGATAGAGAGCCGCGCCAGCCATTTCAGCACCCCAGTCATTTTCCTATATACTCTGTCGGTGAAGAGGATTCTTCTTCGCCTTCAAATATTCCTGAGAGGTGTCAATTATATATTTTGTACGATTAAGATAGCCCAGATAAGCTGCACTTATCGAGCCACTGCTCTAAGCAGTAACAGAACTATAGGCACTGGGATCTTGAAATACAACTAGTATCAATTACGGCTAGAGCATTAATGTTGTTGCAAGTTTGTACAAATTGGGATAAAGGGGTTTATATTGCCTTAGCTCAGTTCAGTTAGTGGCATTCTGTAAAGCTAAATCAACAAAACAATATTTCAACTAATTTTTTTTACATCAGAGTAAACATCATCAAGACAAATATCTTGCATAATTGGCTACATTTAAGCGCATTTTGCAAGGCTAAAACAGTCTATATACCTATAAAGAAGCACGTTTCACATGAAAAAAATTTTTTACCAATTTTTCCCTGCTGTTTTGTTTGGCTCAAAAAAATTAAAGCTGTCGTTCCTTTAGGCGCCAATCCGTTTTACTTCGCCAATAATATTTAAGCTGAGGTCGTGGCGGCCTGAAGGCATCAATTTGCATACGAGATTCAGCAGGGTTTACTCAATGTTTGGTATGCGAATTCC